GGGGGGGGGGGGGGGGTGGAAATCAAAACCTGTGAACCTCGATATCTTTCGAACGAAACAAGATATTGAGGTCCGGTTTGGACGAAAAATCGTCTAAAATTGCATACTTTAAGATTCTAGAGGTCAAAATCCCAAAATTACATGTTAATCTTAACTTATGTGCTTTTTTCAGTTTTTGAGGAAAAACAATTCTTTTAAACACACTAAACTGAAAAAGCACAATTTTGTATTTAAACCAAAACCAGTTTTTTTAAATTGCTCGTCTTTTTCCGCATCCAACAAGTGGTCCTATAAGCTGGGGAACCGAACGGTTCCGGAGTTATGATCGATTGAAGTTTCCGCTCAACGCGCGCCGACCGATTTTCGCGCCCCAAAAGGTCGGTTTTGACTGTTTTTAAATCAGATAGAATGTTCAAATTGAGCAAAATGCATTATTAGGGACTCTTGAGGGTCGATGAGTTCAGAAATTACAGATACTAAAATTACAGCTCCGTAGCGCTATTTTAGAGGCCCACTGAGCGCCGACCGGCCGCTCAGTGGTCCTGTACGGAGCTGTAATTTTAAAAACGAGAATTTTTTGGAAGTATCTGTAATACTGAACTCAGCGATCCTCAAGAGTCCCTAATAACGCCTTTTGCTCAATTTGAACATTCAATCTGATTTAATAACAGTCAAGACCGACTTTTTTGCGCGAGAAAATCGGTCGGCGCGCGTTGAGCGGAAACTTCAATCGATCATAACTCCGGAACCGTTTGGTTCCCCAGCTTAATGGACCATTCGTTGGATGCAAAAAAAGACGAACAATTTAAAAAACTGGTTTTGGTTCAAATATAAAATTGAGATCTTTGTAAATTTTTCGTTTAAAAGAAATTTTCTAGACCTAAAAACTGGAAATAAGCACATATGTTAACTTAAAAATGTGATATTGGGATTTCGACCTTTAGAATCTTAAAGTATGCAATTTTAGACGATTTTTCGTCCAAACCGGGCCTCAATATCTTGTTTCGTTCGAAAGATATCGAGGTTCACAGGTTTTGACTTCCACCCCCCCTAGCGCCCCCCTACAATTTTTTGGGGGTCTGAAAATTTGGGGAAAGAAGCGCTCAAGTATTAGTAACTGATGGACGAAGTTTGAATAAGTTTTAGTGGGGGGCGAAAAATGTCGTTTTTGCATACGGCTCTTAGAAATTGGATCTTTCAGGCTTGATGTGCATTGTTTTCCATCGGAATTATCGAGTTTCGTTCCTATTTCGGCCGATAATTTTGTTCGTTTGACCGTATTTATGACTGGAAATCCAGAATCTGCCATTTGTATGCGCGTGACTCGACGCCAGAGCGAGCGCGCTCGGGAGACGGCGCCGCGACGCTGCCCCTGCCCCGCGCGTCGCCGCCACCACCTGCCACGGTCGTGCTGCATGCTGCATCTCGCTGCCTTTTATTAATATTTAATGATGCCACTCAATATGCAAACCAACAAATGTACCTAAAACAATTGTTGCTTTAATGATCCTTGTTAGATTTTCCTTTGAAAAAATGTGAAGTTCATTGACAATTTTTACCTAAACAGAAATTAACTGGGTCTGTACTTCTATCTCGAGACAGAAGCAGCGGCATCAGGAATGATGGAAAGCCTTGGTTCCTTGACGCCACAAAATGTTATCGATGGGAATAGAATCAAGAGAGCAAGGATAAAGTGTCGTGAAGAGTTAAAAAAACAACTTATTGGGTCTGAAACTAATCTTCAGGCCCTTTTCTTTGATGGGCGCCAAGATAAGATCAAGCACTTCTGTTAAGTTGGAAAAACTCAACATTCAAGTTGTACAAAAGAAGAACACATATCGTTGACACAAGAACCTGGTAGTAGGTATATTGGTCATACGACGCTGGTATCATCATCAGCCTTTGCTATTAAACAGTCAATTTGCACCCACTTGCGTGAGCACCAAGTAAATTCCATTAATCTCGTGGCAATAGAATGCGATGGCACATTAACTAATACCGGTGCATATAAGGGAGTCATCTGACTTATGGAAGAACACTTGTCCCCGCCGCTTCAATGGCTCATTTGTTTATTACATTTTAATTAATTACTTCTGCGTCATCTGATTGAGGACCTGAATGGAAAATACAGCGGACCTGCTGAATTTACCGGCCCAATTGATAAAAACTCCTATCTAAAAGTCGAGATCTGCCTGTGGTGATTTTTGAGCCTATCGACAATAAAAGTTTTCCCATCATCGACCTAGCAATTCTTAGCACCCATCAAAAATATTTGCATCAAATAACCATCGCGGTCATGGAAGGCTATTGTCCACTCGAACTAGCAGAAAGAGGTCCAGACAATATCACACATGTCAGATGGCTGACGACAGCTAACAGAATTTTAAGACTGTTTATTGCTTAGGAATACTCGACAGACACTATACGAATTCTTGCAAACTACATTGTAAATGTTCATAGTCAAATGTGGTTCGAAATCAAGCGTGATCCTAAATCTTCATTTGGTGCAAAACATCTTTTCAAGGCAGTTAGATCAATCTCAGACTAACCAGAAAAAGCTAAGGCTTCAGCTCAGCCTGTTATTCAAAATAATGGTTCTTTCGGCCATCCAGAAAATGATTTATTGGCAAGGTTGGGAGATGAAGATTAAATTATCAAGGAGGAGGCATTGGCACGCATCCTTAGGCTCCGCGAAAATACACGCAAAGCTGGAGCTGTACGGAAGTTCAAAGTCGTGCCCATTAACTTCGAAGCAACGACATACCAATAACTAGTGGACCTGAATGGCTGTGAGATCACCGAACCACCCATGTTCCAGTTCACCTCAACTGCAGAAATCATAGAATACGTTCGAACTGGCGTTCCTTTAAACATTCATTTCAAGCACATACCGTGTCGTATGCAAAGTGTGGAGCGCACCGTCCAACTCGTCACCGAGGTATCGAGAAAATGCTTCTCCATATACAGCCGCCTCCTTATACAGCCGCGACGGCTGTATAAGGACGAAGATGAAGTCGAGGCTTCAGATGCCGGTTTTTGACACGAAAAAGCAGTGCAGACCCAGTTAATTTCTGTTTAGGTAGTCCAGGCGCCTGGTAGCTAAAAATGAGGCTATCTGGAATTTCGGGTACACAGCGATTTTTTTGGCTTACTGTATGTTTTTTGGGGTCGCTGAATTCGAATCTGAAGTTTCCCACCGCGTATCTGGTGAGCATTTTCCGCCATGTTGAAAAAATGGCCTTAGCAGGCCTTTTTTTGCGGGTTTTTTTTATATGGCGGCTACGCATGAGAAAAAGTCCCGGATTTACTTAATGTTTTGAATGGCTGACATAATTTGGAAGAAAATGGTGTGTCTGTTAAGGATCAGCTTGTCCGCCTCCTTGCAACCCGGGCGACTGCGCGGAGAGCATACTGCGACCGCGCTTGCTATATTCGCCACCAGGGCGCGCTCGGCGCAGTTCTGCCGTTGCGGTCCCTTTAAGGGCAAATTAAAGGGCACAAACTGCGACCTTTCGCCCTTTGGCGTGATGGGCACATAACCCATGGACGTCTAACCCGTCTTACCGGGATTTCCAGCTGAAGGGCTCAAATGGAGCCTTTTGGCAGCGTCCCGTGCGCGGCCGCCCCGTCAATGGGACCGGCTCCCGTTTCACCTGGGCTCTGCCCACTTCTTTCACTCATCACTTGTTTTCATTGTATCAAGTCTCTTCTTCTGCCTCCTGAGTTCGTAGTCTCAAGTTCTGCATCTCATCTTCAAGTAAGTATCTGGAGCTGCTACGCATTTCGGCACGCCTCTCCTTCATACGGCGCTACGTCTCATACGGCGCCAAGGCTTCTTCAACAAGGGTTGCCACGACTTTCGGTACCCTCCTTCGGCGCTACGTCTCATACGGCGGTAAGACTTCTTCAACAAGGGTTGCCACGACTTTCGGTACCCTCCTTCGGCGCTACGTTTCATACTGCGCCAAGAAACCCCTTCT